GGATTTCCTGTGTTTTTATGATGTTTTATATTGGTCTTCAATTGGGTCTCTACTGTGGTAGCAGTGTCGGATCAAGAAATTTAAGAATGGGGTCCATAATTTTATTTTTCGTTTCTTAAAAATAATGGGTATGCAATTTTCTCCCTTAACACATTAAGTTAAATTTAATCATTTTCCCAAAATAATGGGATGCACTTGGCCCCTACTGGAGCTTAGTGCATCCGCCCCTGTGCGGTAGGCTGGATGTATGAAGGAAGTTGTATGCCTAATTTTTATTTGCTTATGTTATCTATTTAGGGTCTAATTCTCACTTTTTTTGGCTTGAAATTTGGGTTTGAATCTCTTTTGATAGACTGGATTTATGATGCAAGTTATTGTATGCTTGATTGTATTTACTTATCTTATGCTTAATAACTGTTATTTGCTTATGTTAGTTTGGTGTGTTCTAGGGTTTAATTCTCACTTTTTTGTTTGAAATTTGAGGTTTTATTTGAAGCGTTTTCCTACTTTTTTTATTTTATGTATTGTCTTCATTTGTGACCTCTTTTGTGGTAAGATGGGATGCATGGTTTTCTTGTTGAGGGTCAACATTATTTCTCTATTTTCTGTTATTTTTAAGGTAACGATGATAATTTGCTGAGCTTTCCGTTGAAGGTTGAATCTTTACTGAGAAATGTGGATTATCAATTTATAGGGCATTGTGGGGTCCAAGCTTGGTTGAATATGAGTGTTATTGACTATCTACTAATTTGCAATTCTTCATGTGGATTTCAATTTTATGTCTTAATGCTGTCTTTTTCCTTGTTCTTTTGGTCTGCAGGGTAAGAAGAGAAAGGACACCATCTGCATTGCTCTTGCAGATGACACTTGTGAAGAACCAAAGATCAGGATGAATAAGGTTATCAGGTCAAACTTGAGGGTTAGGCTTGGTGACGTCGTCTCTGTGCACCAGTGTCCAGATGTTAAGTATGGGAAACGTGTGCATATCTTGCCTGTGGATGACACAATTGAAGGGGTTACTGGAAATCTCTTTGATGCATACCTGAAACGTGAGTTTATTTCTGATCTTTTATTACCAAGTTATGGTCATTTTTTTGTGGTGTTTAGGTTAGTTACTAGGCAGGTAAAGATTAACCAATCATAAGGCTCATTGATTGATTGAAAATATAAAATGGTTCCCATTAACATAATTGACTGGAATATGTAATGTTGGACTCATGATAATATTGTCTGTAAATGCTGACCGATGATTGTGGATTTACAGCTTATTTTCTGGAAGCATACCGTCCAGTAAGGAAGGGTGATATGTTCCTTGTCAGAGGTGGAATGAGAAGTGTAGAATTCAAGGTTATCGAGACTGATCCTCCTGAGTACTGTGTTGTTGCACCAGACACAGAGATATTCTGTGAGGGAGAGCCCATCAGGAGGGAGGATGAGGACAGGTTAGATGAGGTAGGTTATGATGATGTTGGTGGAGTGAGAAAACAGATGGCTCAGATTAGAGAACTAGTGGAGCTTCCATTGAGGCATCCACAGCTCTTCAAATCAATTGGTGTGAAGCCACCAAAAGGAATTTGCTTTATGGACCTCCTGGGTCTGGAAAGACTCTGATTGCCCGTGCTGTTGCGAATGAGACTGGGGCTTTTTTCTTTTGCATCAATGGTCCGGAGATCATGTCAAAATTGGCTGGAGAGAGTGAAAGCAATCTGAGGAAAGCATTTGAGGAAGCAGAGAAGAATGCACCATCTATTATATTCATTGATGAAATTGACTCAATTGCTCCCAAGCGAGAGAAGACCCATGGTGAAGTTGAGAGAAGGATTGTCTCTCAGCTGTTGACATTGATGGATGGGCTTAAATCCCGTGCACATGTTATTGTGATTGGGGCCACAAATCGTCCCAATAGCATTGATCCAGCTCTCAGACGGTTTGGAAGATTTGATAGGGAGATTGATATTGGTGTCCCTGATGAAGTTGGTCGTCTCGAGGTGCTTCGTATTCACACAAAGAACATGAAGTTGGCTGAAGAGGTAATGTCAAAAACTAAGCATTGATTTCCTTAAAAATCCTGTACCCTTTTCTTCACCTGAAAGAATGAAATACTGAATCTACAATATTTTCCCGACATAATGCACAGGTTGATCTAGAAAGAATTGCCAAGGACACCCATGGTTATGTTGGTGCTGATCTTGCAGCCCTCTGTACTGAGGCAGCATTACAGTGCATCCGAGAAAAGATGGATGTGATTGACTTAGAAGACGAGTCAATAGATGCAGAGATACTCAACTCTATGGCAGTCACAAATGATCACTTCCAGACTGCTCTTGGAACAAGCAATCCATCAGCATTGCGTGAAACTGTCAGTATTTCCAAGATTCTTCTATTGTGATACCACATTCTTTGTTGATTATTAGTTCTTGGGTCAGTTCTGTTTCTGACCATTCTTTTCTTACATTCTTTCAGGTTGTTGAAGTGCCCAATGTCAACTGGGAAGACATTGGAGGCCTTGAGAATGTTAAAAGGGAGCTTCAAGAGGTAATACTTCAAATCCGTTTTCTTTAATTGTCTGTTTCTCATGAAAAAATAACTTGATCAACTTGTTACATTGGTATGCAGACTGTTCAATATCCAGTGGAACATCCTGAGAAGTTTGAGAAGTTTGGGATGTCCCCGTCAAAAGGAGTTCTATTCTATGGCCCTCCAGGATGCGGTAAAACACTTTTGGCCAAAGCTATTGCCAATGAGTGCCAGGCAAACTTCATTAGCGTCAAGGGTCCGGAGTTACTTACAATGTGGTTTGGAGAGAGTGAGGCTAATGTCCGTGAAATTTTTGACAAGGCACGTCAGTCTGCTCCTTGTGTGCTCTTCTTTGATGAACTTGATTCAATTGCTACTCAGGTATGCTCAAGGCCTTTGAATTCTATCTTCACAGATAAACTGATTCTGTAGTATTATGTATTTCAATGCATGGATTGTTTCTAGCAAGGAAAACATGCTCGGCTTTGCACCCAGTTGAGATGGTTTTGCCTGCTGGCATATATTGCTCACATTTGTTTTATATTTCAGAGAGGAAGCAGTGTAGGTGATGCAGGGGGTGCAGCTGATAGGGTTTTGAACCAGCTGCTTACCGAGATGGATGGCATGTCTGCAAAGAAAACTGTTTTCATCATTGGAGCTACAAATCGACCTGACATTATAGATCCAGCACTTCTACGTCCAGGCCGTCTTGATCAATTGATCTATATTCCTCTCCCTGATGAGGAATCACGCTATCAGATCTTTAAGGCTTGTCTGAGGAAATCACCATTAGCAAAAGAAGTAGATCTCAGAGCTCTTGCTAAATATACTCAAGGCTTTAGTGGGGCAGATATCACTGAAATATGTCAGCGTGCATGCAAATATGCTATTAGAGAAAACATTGAAAAGGTATCGTAATAACTACTTTCCATCGCATTAACTCATTGTATATGTATGTTTTTTTTCTTGATGTTTAAAACTGTAACATGAGATTATATTTATTTATCATTTCAGGATATTGAGAGAGAAAGGAGGAGGGCAGAAAACCCTGAAGCCATGGAAGAAGATGTGGAGGATGAAGTTGCGGAAATCAAGGCTGCACATTTTGAGGAATCGATGAAGTTTGCTCGTAGGAGTGTGAGTGATGCTGATATCCGCAAGTACCAGGCATTTGCGCAAACATTGCAGCAGTCGAGGGGATTTGGAAGTGAATTCAGATTTGCTGAAACTGGTTCACGGGCTCCAGCATCTGATCCCTTTACAGCTTCTGCAGGCGGAGCTGATGAAGATGACCTTTACAGTTAAATTGCCATTTCATCTATTTTTGCGCAATTTACGTTGACAGTTTGTCTTTCATGTGTGTGTAGTTTTAAAATAGACTATTATGTGAAAACCCGAGCCGTTGAGCATGACTCTGAAAAACTAGTTTTGTTACTCTTGAAGTTTTCAATTCCTACAAGATTTAAATTCAGTTTACCCTTGTAAAATCCTCTGTCATCATCAGTCTTCATTCTCTCTTTTATCTTCATGTGGATCAAAGTTTAAAAGTGAAAGAAAAATTTAATTCAATATGATTTCACATAGGGTGTTTATCGAGCGAGTCGATCGTGAGTTGGACAGTGCTTGATTTGTTGTTCGTTAAGCTCGTTAAAATTTTGCTTAATTTGGCTCGTTTTAAAAACTTGTTGCTCGGGTTCAGCTTCAGCGGGTGGAGTTCTCCGCGACCACCTTGAAAAATTCCTTTTTGGCTTCAACAAGAATCTTGGTTCAACCACGGTGATCTCTGCTGAGCTCTGGGTAATTTTTGAGGGTCTTAAACTTGCTTGGTCACATGGCTTCGAGGAGATTCAACTTCAAATGGATAGTTCGGACGTTTATCAACTACGGTAGAAACTCTTTAAATTAATATTTGGTAAATTAATAAATTCTCTAAAATAATAAATTTATCCGGTCCCGACTTGGGCTAATGTAAAAAATTAAAAAACTCGATAAAATAATAAGATAATTTTTCGTGAGATCCTTTTATAATTATCGGTCCCAAGAAAATCATAAATTAATAATTCATAGAAACTGAAAAAAATATATTACACTCTATTGAAATATGATTCAATAGTTGTCTGTTTTCCTTTAAAGTTCAAGTCTATTTGGAGCTCATTATTAATTTAACTCATATCTTGCAACGTAATTTTAAGAGGCATAGACTAATTTGCCTTTTTATTTGGCATGCACAATATAATTACTTAAAAACTCTTTAAATTAATAATTATTAATTTATCGATAAATTAATAACTCTCTAAATTAATAAATTTCTCCGATCTTGACATTATTAATTTATAGAATTTTAACTGTATGTTAAAAATACTTCCGTGGATAGCTTGTACTCACTAATCCGTAAGATTGCATTACTCCTAAATTGTGCTTGGGTTGTGGAATTCAATCTTATACGTAGAGAAGCGAATATGATTGCGGATTATCTAACGAAGATGGGTGGTTCTATGGCACTCGACAAATTTTCGATTCCACAACAGCACCCCTCGAAGATCTGTTGCAGCGTGATAACATGGGTCCTCCTTAGGTTCGATCAACACATGCCTAATTGTCTCTCTTAGGCTCCTTTTAATTCAAAAAAAAAATAAAATTATTGCTCGACTCGTGCTTATTAAGACCGTTGTTCAACTCGTTGTTTGTTAAGCTTATTGAAATTTTTATCTTATTTTATTAACTATAGATAAAATTTACGAATACTATAAATTAATAGATTAATTATTTATCATTTTTTATTATCTATTAGTAAATTAGTAACTTTTTTAATGAAATAATTTTTTAAAATAACTATTATACAATATAAAAAAATTAACGTGCTGCTCATGAACTTATCGAGTCGAGTTGGTCTTTGCTCGACTCAATTCGTTAAGGTATCGAGCCAAGTTCGAGTTTGACTCGAGTCAATCCAAGTCGAGCTTTTATCGAATTTTAACCGAGTCGAGTTCAAACTGCCCATGAGCTGTTCAACTCATCAATCCCCTAATTTCACATATTGAATTAAATTAAGTTTAATCTTTTTTATATGCATATGGATATGGTTTTAAATTCCATCAATAACGGATTATTTTTTTGGATAAATTATAACGGAGTATTTAAGTTTATTAAGTATTAACCTTTATATGCATGAATTTGTATAGTATACTTTGTTTTTTTTATATATGCATATGGATTTTGAACAAGTTCGATTAAATTGAGCCATTTTCATATAAAGTTGAAATTGGTCAGAGATATTTTAGAATTTAGAACACACTACCAATAGTTGGAGTTTCGATCGATTTTTCAACAGAAAACACTTGACACAAATTTTTCTGCAACTATCAAACGATCGGTCAACAAATATAAATTTATTTATTCACCCATTTTTGTGATCTAATCTATAAATATATTCCTTCTGATAATGATCAACGACAAAAGATGTAAATTTCAGTTTATTTATGGACTAGTAAGATATTTATGAATTAATGGTCAGTTTTAAAAGAATTTCATTTTCAGATATTGTGTTATAGGCAGACTAGGTGTTTGATATAAGTTGTAAATGAAAATGTTACGGCAATTTAGGAGGTGATAGTTAATTGACATGCGGTGCATGCGCATGTAGAGCAAAGTTCCCACCTTCAAGTAGCCACCCATTTCTCCCGGCCATTTCTTCCCGTCCCAAAACCAAGGTCCTCCTTTCAAACCCAAACACACGTTCACTCCACCCTTTTGAGCAGAATTCCTTGGTTTTCTCTCAAGGGTCTACCTCTGAGGCTATCCGATTCTTCGCCCTTTGTCAGTCTTCATTCTTGGTCTGCATGTTTTCAACCATTTCTATTTGAAAAAAACTTCTTTTTTTTAAAGTTCATTATTTTTCTTTTGGTTTTGGGGTCCTTGAATGTTCATGGTCTTGTTTCAAACAAGTATTACAAAAACTCAAGACCATGTTTTAAAAGATATTATCTACATTTGACAATGCCATGGTTCATTCACAGAACTCAATTATAGTTGGTTGTTTCAAGTTTTTCAATATAGGATTTGTGATTTGTAGAGTTCCCTCTGGTGATCAAAATGAGAGGAGTTATTAGACCCCATCTTTTGCTTTGTCTTCATGTCTTTTTATGTTTCTTTCCTTTTTCAAAGTCTGTGGAAGGGGATGAATACAGTGAGACACAAAAACCCGCCTACCTTCCGAGTGTAACACAACTCATCCATGAAGAGATTTCGAATCTTACTAAGTATTTAATCCAAGATATCGGTAGCGATTTGACCTTCTGCATAAAGAACGTGTAAGTTTTTTCATAGTTTTACTGTTGTTTTGTCTTGTCTCTGTATCATGCTTGCCATCCTTATATTTTCGCCATGAAGGACTTTTTTATTCTTTCATTGGTGAACTTGTTCTTATGTCTTCTTTCTTTTCAGGAATGAAGATTTGAGCGGGGCATTTAATTTTACAAATAATATTGATTTCATTACTACCTGTATCAAGAAAACAAAAGGTATGAGCCTTTATATGGGAGAAATGCTATATTTCTCGAACTTGCGTCATTATGATGATTCAAATCACCATATACTTGTTTTTTGCCAACTAAATATTGTAATAAATTAATAATTTCCATGACTCAAGTCTCTTTTTAACTCTTTAATATTTTGCAGGCTTAAAAATGGTAAAATTGGGCCATAAAGTTTATAGGCACTTGACAAATTTTTCTGATAGCCATAATTGCCATGTTTCAAGTTTTCTCTTTGGCGTTTTCTTTTTCCATCTTTGCAACGTTTGGTCGTATTTTTTACCTGTGGAGCTGATGATGAATTATGATTTTAACAGGAGATGTCACCCAGAGACTATGTACAGCAGCAGAAATAAAATTTTACTTCAATAGCCTATTTTCGAAGGGGGGCAAAACCGGTCTTGTAAAAGTTAATAAGAACTGCAATTTGAAATCTTGGATTTCCGGATGTGAACCAGGATGGGGTTGTTTTGCTAACCCAGACCAGAAGTTTGAACTAAAAGATGAAAATAACATGCCTTCCAGGACCACAGACTGTCAACCTTGTTGCGAAGGATTCTTTTGCCCTAGAGGTCTTGCTTGCATGATACGTAAGTACTCAGCACAACCCTTTTATTTCAATTCCGAAGTGCAATGGTATTTTGTGATGAAGTTAATAAAGATTCATGAAAAAAAAAAATTGGAACTATTTATTGATTGAAGTGGAACTGAATGAAGAACATTTATCGTCTTTCTCATGTTCATGCAAAATGAAGCATGCCCTTTAGGTTCTTATTGTCCACTAGCAACGCTGAATAAATCAACAGGAGTTTGTGACCCGTAAGTTCATACTTCTTCTCTTCTACTCTTACATGAACTTATCATTAAAGTTAGGCGTAATATTTATTGGTCGAGAAATTTTGCAGATATAATTACCAAATTCCTCCTGGAATGCCAAATCACAGTTGCGGTACTGCAGATATTTGGGCCGATGTCGGAAGTAGTAGTGATATTTTCTGTTCACCAGGATCATACTGCCCTAATACCCTTGATAAAGTTTCTTGCAGTGAGGGGTATTTACTTTTATCCCTGAGCTCATAGCATCAATAAAGTTGTTTGCAGAACTTGTATTTCATCTCAAGATAGCATACATGATTTGATGATATTATGAAAATACTGCATGCTTGGCGTTTACATTTTCTGATAAGTTCTTTTGATGCAATTTTAGGCATTACTGCAGAAAGGGTTCCACTACCCAAATTTGTAAGTTTGTTTGTTTTCTTATTTTATTCTTTTAACCGATAGACTTCCTGGAAGTTTGCTTTGAATTTTTGTTCACAGTATTTCCTAAACTCAATGTTTATAATATGTAAAAATATCAGGAGGTGCCTCTAAAGTATACTGTTTGAATCAACTTATTAAAAAAGTTGATATTTTCACAGTTTTGCATATATGTCTATATTGTTTACATAGGCTAGCTGATGAAATCCACCAAATTTACTATATGTTTCAATATTTCCATCCCATATATGCAAAAAGTTTCCATGTGACCTGTGTGAAAAATATCAGGAAGTGCCTCTAAAGTATATTGTTTGAATCAACTTATCAAAAAGTTTTGAGGCACTTCCATGAATCAACTTATCAAAGATGTTTGAATTTTGATATATCAAAATATTTGAGTGTGTATAATAATTGAGTGGAAGTGCCTCAAAACGTATATTGTTTGAATCAATTTATCAAAAACTTCCCTAGCCTCAAGGTGTCTAACTTATCATTGATGTATGCAAAAAAGTTTCCATGCAACCGATTTGGAAATATCAAAATGTTCGAGTGTATATTTCCAGAAAGTGCTTCAAAAGTAAAACCTTTGAATCACCTGATGGAAATTTGTTGGAAATGATTTATGCATCACAAAGTTTATTTGCAATTCCATACCATTGATTCTACCAACCTTCCTTGATCCAAGCCTCAAGGTATCTAACTTTCAATTGATGCATATGCAGCAACGTTTGCCCAATGCTGTTGATTCATTCGACAAAAAAGTGGATATCCTTTTTTTAATGGGATTTTTATGAATACTTTGCAGCTTGCTTCAAATTAACCACCTGCAATCCAAATACTTCGAACCAGAATATTCACGGTTATGGAATCATGGTTTTCGTAAGTGATTTACTAACTTGTCATTGATTACTCTTCTTGAGCTGGTTCTGCTTGTCATTAAGGTTAGATATAGGGTTTTTCATCAATCATGTCTGTCAAATTATATACATTTTACATAATTCTTTGAATCATTTCTCATGAAGCTAATTTCAATGAAGGATTTCATTTACCTGCTTATGCAGAATTAAATTATGTTTCCTTTTTCTCTGTAATATAATCTATTTTAGCTTTGCTGTTGCACCGGTTTCAATGAGTTGACTTGTACTTTTTGTTGAATAAGTAGGTTGGACTCGGTCTTCTGCTGCTCATTATTTATAATTTCTCTGATCAAGTTATTACTACCAAAGAAAGAAGACAGGCTAAATCCCGAGAAGCAGCAGCAAAGCATGCGCGTGAAACTGCACAAGCTAGGGAAAGGTGGAATGCGGCAAAAGAAGTTATGGCAAAGGGGGGTTGGCAGGAGCACCTTTCAAGGACATTTTCTCGAGCAAAATCAAAAAAGCGAATTGAACAGCAGAAGGCATCGGGTGCAATACCACAACCGCTATCCGAGGAAGCACCAAAAGGTTCAAAAGAAAAGAATAAGGAACCAGGCAACCTCACAAAGATGTTGCATTCCCTTGAAGATGATCCCAAGAGTCATGAAGGTTTTGATGTGAGTATTGGTGGGAAAAATGTGAAAAAACAACCTCCAAAGGGTAAAGACATGCATACGCAAAGTCAAATTTTCAAGTATGCCTATGGTCAAATTGAGAGGGAAAAAGCACAGCAGACACAGAACAAGCACTTGACCTTCTCAGGAGTAATTTCCATGGCTATGGATCACAATATCCGGAGCAGGCCTATGATTGAGATTTATTTTAAGGATCTAACCCTTAGTTTGAAGAAGAACCACAAACATCTGCTCAGGTGTGTCACTGGGAAACTCAGTCCTGGCCGTGTATCCGCAGTTATGGGCCCATCAGGAGCCGGGAAAACTACGTTTCTCTCTGCTTTGACAGGGAAAACTGCAGCTGGATGCGCTGTTACAGGCCTGATTCTTGTGAATGGAAAAAACGAACCTATCCAAGCATATAGGAAAATTATTGGATATGTGCCTCAAGATGATATAGTGCATGGGAACTTGACAGTAGAGGAGAACCTTCAATTCAGTGCAAGGTGCAGGTATGTGCTTTCAAATTTGTGATACAATCGAACATTATTCATCATCTCATCGTGTCTTACCGCTCAGTTTTAAACAGGATATCTTCCTGTAGCTGGTTAATCATTGAATTCAAAGATGCATCTTACCTCTTGTATTATTTAAGAGACCTTTTCTCATAATCACAAGTTCAATAATCTTAGTTGTATTGATATTCGTTGTAATTGTTAAGGCTTGATGCAGTATATGTGCTTCGTGCAATTTAAATTAAATGAAAGTTGTGAAAATAAGGAAGGGTTTTTATGAAATCATGATAATCAGCACCTTTTTAGCTCAAGCAACATGGTAGACTTCCTACGGGCTATTCTGCTAATGGTCATGCTGTAAATAACTATCCATCTAGAACATAATTTACTGTTTTTATGTTTGATCGGTATCCTATAAGTTTCATTCTTACAATATTATTTTGGTGGATTCCATCTCATTGAAGACTAGCTGCGGACCTGCCTAAAGCCGATAAAGTTTTAATTATTGAAAGGGTTATTGAGTCCTTGGGACTACAGGCAGTAAGGGATTCACTTGTTGGGACAGTGGAGAAGCGAGGGATCTCCGGAGGGCAGAAAAAACGTGTAAATGTTGGACTAGAGATGGTTATGGAACCTTCTTTATTGATCTTGGATGAGCCTACTACTGGTTTAGATAGTTCTTCATCACAGTTGCTCCTTCGAGCTCTTCGACGTGAAGCTCTTGAAGGAGTAAACATCTGCATGGTACTTCACCAACCAAGGTACGATTCTTTCTAAACCCAAAAATAAGAGAGTGACAAAATAAGCTTTCAGTTGACTGAAAAGTTGGAAACCGGGCCTAGAAGGTGCTATTTGAGTTGTTTTTTTGTGTTAGTTCTCCTTTTTACAGCAAATTGATTGTTTATGACACGATGTTGCATTGTTATATACATTTCTGCTATATTGAGATTTTCCATTTGGAATTAGTGATGAGCTTGTAAGGAATAGTTTAATTAAAAAAAAGTGTATGCTTGTTTGTGTCCGTGTATGGTTTATTATAGATATAAAAAGCTTCAAAGGTTGAAATTATGTCAAGAAATAGTTGCATTTTGGTTTTCCAATTTGTGAAGCTAATTGTTAGTTTCTTCTGATTCAGCTCTACCCTGTTCAAGATGTTTGATGATTTAATACTTTTAGCCAAAGGTGGTCTGGTTGCATATCTTGGACCTGTGAAGAAGATTGAAGAATACTTTTCCAGCATAGGGATCGACGTACCTGACCGTGTTAATCCTCCAGACCACTTAATCGACATTCTGGAAGGGATTGAGAAGCCAGCAACAGTGACCCGTGAACAGCTTCCTGTCCGATGGATGCTACACAATGGCTATCCAATTCCCGTAGATATGCTCGATTTGACTGAAGGACTTTCAACACCCTCCGGTTCAAATCCAAATACTTCTGGTGGTCATGATGGAGGACAATCATTTTCTGCAGAAATGCCTGAAGATTCAAAGAGTAGTCTCTCGATCTCGAAATCTAAAGACTTATCAAACAGAACAACACCGGGTATATATCGCCAGTACAAATACTTCCTTGCCAGGTACAACCCAACATCAGTATTCCCATCATATGAAAATTTGGCTCATAAATATTTCAGCCTAATTTCCAGCACCTTCATATAATCTAATCCCCGGTTGACCAATCTTGTTCCATAACAACATGAGAGTCTGTTATTGACCAAACATCTACTGGTAAAAGATGGTCTCCTTGTAGATTAAACAAGATGATTTATCATATGGCAAAATTTCAGGGTTCTTAAACAGAGACTAAGAGAAGCTCAGATGCAAGCCATCGATTTAATGATCCTACAACTTGCCGGAGCCTGCTTAGGAACTCTTGCAAAAGTCACGGATGAAACACTTGATGACAGCGGCTACACATTTTCAGTCATTGCCGTGTGTAGGTTGAAGCACAAAAGCTTGGTATAACATACCTGTGTTATCATTGTTTTTTTAACTCCAAGTCACCTTCATTCGCAGCACTGTTATCGATGATCGCAGCATTGAGATCGTATTCGCTCGATAAATTAGAGTACAAAAGGGAGACGGAAGCCGGGATCAGCCGTCTAGCTCATTTTCTAGCCAAAGACACGATCGATATGTTCAACGTGATTATAAAACCAGTGGCGTATTTATCAATGTTCTACTTCTTCAACAATCCAAGATCAACCTTTCAAGATAACTATGTCATACTGACGTGCCTTGTTTACTCTGTCACTGGTATGGCTTACGTATTAGCCATTGCCTTTGAACCTAGTGTGGCCCAACTGGTACGTTCTAAAAGCATCATCATCACATCAACTAATGGAATATTGGTCGTTTTCTTATTTTAGTTAATGAACATCCTAATTTCTTTCCTCAGTGGGCAGCGCTTGTTCCTGTTGTTTTGACCCTAGTTGCAACCCAGGGAAAAGATAGTATAGTTCAGCAATATTTTGGCAGATTTTGCTACACCAAATGGGCTCTGGAAGCTTTTGTCATTGCAACTGCTGAAAGGTTAATAATGTCTTCCATTTCCCCCCTTTCAAATACTTTGACATAGATAGGATCTTTCAAGAATTTATAAAAAGAAATTGAATATATTCGTATCCCATTCTTAAACAATGTACAAATCTCACTGAATTTACCATGAAACCTAGCACTAATATGTGGGAGAGTTATGTTAATTCATAATGTCACTAAACTTGTCACGCATAAAAAAAAAAGATATCGATCTAATAATTTTATCATGTTGATAGAGAATATATCTAATTTTGTTTGAATCGTCCCTCATCAATATGTATTCAGAATAATTGTGAAAGTATATGATCTTTATAAAAATTCTCTCTTGTTTTATTATACAAATATTTGAACCTGATATTCATGTTTTTGAGCTTATTCAGGTACTCTGGAGTTTGGCTATTAACTCGTTGCAAATCGTTGGAAGGTGGGGGTTATAGTCTCCATGACTACCCTATTTGTTTATTTGTCCTTGTTGTCAATGGCGTTATCGCACGCATTGCAGCTTTCGTCATACTTGTAACCAGATGAGTTTGGACAAGCAAGATTTCAACTTTTACTCTTTGTATATATAAAAGGAAACTCAGCATTAAAAAAAAACCAAGATTTCAACTTTGACTTTTTATTTTTGTTTGCATTGAAGGAAATTAAGCATTAAACAGAAAACGAGAATTCAGGACTAACAGTTAGAACTCGTATCCTGTTGTATTTTTATTATTTGTTTGTTTTTATTTTTATAAATTTTGATGTACTAATCATTTATTTCAAGATATATACTTTGATTCTTTGTATATTTGTGTATACTTGATATTTTGATTCTTTGTATATCTGTGTTTGTATTTTATTTTTTTATTAAAAATAATAAATATATATGGTTAAGTTCTAATAAATAAAATCCACTAAAAATCTCATCAATCACATCTAGAAATCACTTGCAGAACCTAAAAGTATATTTCACTTGGAAGAAGCTTGCCATGTTTTGGGAGGGAATTGTAACAAGCTAAACTTAATTAAGTCTAAAGTGTCATACTAGGTTATGGAGGCTGTTCTTTTTCTTTTCAAACATACTGAACGATATCATAATAAAACATAAATAACTTATATATAATCATTTTACAAAATCGAAACTCCGTAACACATAATTTAAAACAAAATAATAAAACTTGAAGGCCCCGTTTAGTTCACGATATAATTCATTCCTGAGGAATATTTTTTTCCCGGAGGAATATACCCACTGGGCCACATTACCAAATGCTAATAAAAAATTAATATCAATAATGATTTTTTTACTGTTTTTTCAGAAATATTAGTCCCCCATCTCCCTTAGGTATTTCATTATGAGAAAATAACCTCAGTGACCAAAAATCCCATATAATATACGATTTTAACCAACTTTTTCCGGATTTGCCAAAATGACCAACAAAATCGCAATGCGATCGCTAATTCGCAACGCGATCTCCATTATCGCAAATTCGCGTTGCATTTTCGCAATGCGATAGTTGAAAATCGCGTTGCGATGGTCTACAGTATCGTTGCGATTTTCCCAATTTGCAATGCGAATAAGTAAATCGCAACGCGAATTGGGAAAATCGCAATGCGAATAAGTAAATCGCAACGCGAATTGGGAAAATCGCAATGCGATACTGACTATCGCAATGCGATAATAAAAAATCGCAACGAGATACTTACTTTCGCAACGCGATATTGACTTTCGCAACGCGATAATACATAATCGCAATGCGATTTTCAAAGTGCCATTAGTATCCTGGCCAAGTATTTTATTTTTAAATTCCAAACATGAATATTAATATATTGGAACACTGAACTGTCCACAGTATATCCCGTAATCGCAACTCATAACCTAAAACCTAAAATCACAACTCAGTCCCATCTCCATCTCTCACTCTCTCACCCATCTCCGACGAAATCCGTCCCCATCTCCGGCGAAATCCGTCTATCTCCATCTCTCAGAGCCACCCTCACAATCAGAAATGGAAAATCAACCAAATCAACCAACGAGGGTTAGTTTTTTTAATTATTTTCTTTTTGAAATTTTTGCATTATTATTAGGTTTTTCATATTGAAATTGATGATAAGTTTACTGGTAATTTCAATAATAGATTAACCATTTCACTTAGATTGCTTATTAAATCAACCAAGAATCGCAACGCGAAATGCAAATCGCAACGCGATTTTAGTTTCGCGTTGCGATTCTCTCGTTGCGATAGTCATTTTCGTGTTGCGATTTTCATTTTCAGAAACTATTCTTCTTCTGCAAATTGAAACTTGAATGAATTGCATTACTTCAACCAAAAAACAAAGACAAATACGAAATTCACAGTGTTGCATATTTAAGTTTGAAGAATAAACTACTACTATTTATGTTTATTATTGTTTTTGGTATATCTTCACAGTGTAGTTTTTGGTATATCTAATTTAGTATGTTTATTATTTTTGTAGAACTTTTATTCGGCTCAATTGACCTTGAGAAATAAAGTCAGCCTGGCCAAAACAATTGCGTCGAAGCTTTCACCTGCACAAAGAAAAATGTTTGAGGATACATGCTTCGGGCCATGGCTGAAAATACAACAACCCGGTGGAGATGCGATGTTGACACACCCGTTTCTTCAAACCATGACTAGCGATCTACCAGAGACTATACAACGTCGTGATGAAGAGATATGGTTTGATTTTCCACCGGCGTATACGTGTTTTGGGCGGGAGGAGTTTTGCTTAATCACCGGTCTACGCTTCGGACACGATGATGTAGGTCGGTACACTAGACACATTACCCGCCCATCATGGCTATCCTGGGTTTTTCCTGAGCTGGAGAGGCTGAGTCTACACGTAGAAGACCTGACAAGATGTTTGAATAATAAAGATGGTTTTACTCGAATGGATGACGTCGACGTTGTCCGAGTATGCCTTCTAATTCTTTTGCATGCCGGCTTTTTAGGCAGAGAGGCCAGACAACCTATTCCAAATGATCTAATCAAATTGGTAGAAGACCTAAATGCGTGGAACCTGTTTCCGTGGGGCTCGTATTTATGGAAAGCTACATGGAATAAGTTATCGTCTGCCTTGGATGATCGAAAAAGTTTGCATGGCGATGGTTCCAAATACACTTTGACAGGCTTTATTTGGGCCTTTAAGGTAAGAATTTTTATATGATGTTTCCAAAATTATAAGTAATTATTTAACAATTACTAATGTTTGTTATTATATTGTTTGTAGATTTGGATATTTGAGGCCTTTCCCGCCATGAAGACATATGCAATAAAAACTTCAAATGATATTCCCAGGGCTATTTCCTGGAAGAGGAAACGGACCTTGCAATGGGAAGATTTACTACGGTATATGACAATAAATAATGTAAGTTAACATAAATACTACCATATATTTATAAACAAGTTATTACTAGTACACGTTTAACTTTGTTTGAGCTTTTATATTGTTAGGAGGCCAACACTCCTCTACAGAGGCTGACACCCACGGAAGCTGAGCTTGCCACTGATTGGTGGCAAGCTAGTAAGCGTTTTTTTGATGGAACGGTTGATGAGCAGCCTCCACTTCGGGAGCCATCACCTCGCCCAGAGCTATCACCTCACCCAGAGCCATCATCTGATCGACCCGGCTATACACCTCCACAACGACAGCCATCACCTATTCTGTCACATCATCGAGCCTCTTCTCCACCATCACCGCAAAATAGGCGACCGGCAAAGATGCCACGACGTTTATCTCCCTGTTCTCCACCTCAACGGGATGAGTTAGGGGAGTTACGTGATGAGGTCAATGCCTTGCGTGAGGAGGTCGGTACTTTACGCAAAGACGATGGTGCATGGCGTGTTGAGGTGTCTACATTACGCGGTGAGGTAGCCGCTCTACGTGAGATGGTAGCATCGTTGCAGAATGAGGTTCATACTCTACGCAACGAGGTAAGTTTAAGATTTTTCATACTCGTAATTCATTCGGTTGCTGCCAATACTGCTAAACTGTTTTTGTTAGTATTTGTTTTTGGTTTTGTTTTTGTCTTTTGGTTGAAGTAATGCAATCCATTCAAGTTTCAATTTGCAGAAGAAGAATAGTTTACTTTCGCAACACGAAAATGACTATCGCAACGCGGAAATGGCTATCGCAATGCGAAATGAAAATCGCAACGACAAAATCGCAATGCGAAATGAAATCGCAACGCGAAATGAAAATCGCAATGCGATTTGTGTTTCGCGTTGCGATTTTGTCGTTGCGATTTCATTTCGCGTTGCGATTTTGTCGTTGCGATTTTCATTTCGCATTGCGATAGCCATTTCCGCGTTGCGATAGTCATTTCGCGTTGTGATTTTAAGTTTCGTGTTGCAAAAGTAAACTATTCTTCTTCTGGAATGTTTATATATGTTGTCCTTTTAAATGTTTATATAAGTGCTTACTTCTGGAATGTTATCTGAGCATTTTGTGAACTATGATAGAATAATGATTTGGGTGAATACAATGCTAGTTTGAAACATATTTGTCTTTGTTTAATATCATGTCTGTTTATTTACTGATTTATGTATTAATTTTTTTTAGCGGCCCGATAAGGTGGATGCTTTACGTCGGGTTTTCCTTGCACGACGGAGTTCACGCATCAGACGGCGTGGACGTGCTATTATGTCTCCGTTCACCCCAATGGTGCGAAGACTCCGCAAGAAGAAGCCCGACTCACCGGTCATCCCTCAAGAGTCCCCTTCAATCATTCAAGAGGCCCCTATTCTCCCTCAAGATTCCCCCCCACCGTTCAAGAGGCCACTGTCATCGTTGAATAGGTCCCTCCCACCATTCCAGAGCCCGATTCACATGGGGTAATATATCGAAGTATTGAGAAACCCCCACCGGTTCCGGACATGATGGATGAGAGTTGGCTCTCGTATGAGTTACCGGCTAGTACCCTTCCGGTATCTGAAGTGGAGAGGAGACAACTACCGGAAACAATTGTGGATAATACCCTTTGGGCTAAGACCGCAGTTGATTTTTATCTACATGAGCGGAGCCAAGGGTGTTACACTGACATCAGCAAACTCAACGATGAAATGTTTTTGTTGCTTGATCGGTCTTGGTGGGGTGTGCTATTAGGGGTTGAAGACAGTGGCTATTTGGATATGGAGGTAAGTCTTATATTTGTCTTATATATGATTTTGATTAATTTGTTTAAAAATTAATGTAATTCACTAATATATGTATTTTTTTGTAAAACAGCATATCGATGCGTGGGTGTCACGTCTACTAATAATAAGGAAGCTTAAGAAAAATAAAAAAAATTCGCTATATACAATAATGCCGATGGCTTTTCACGCAGTTCACTTGAAGAATCAACGAGATGAATCATTTTTGTTGGGCAATGGACAAGCTAAACTTTATCCTGCATGGTGGGAGGTCGATAAGGTTAGTGTTTATTTTTTAAATTTTTTAAAGGTGTTCATAAATAAGTGCGCAAATAAATGAATTATTACTTATGATCGCAGGTGTTTATCCCTGTTTTGGAACGTCGTCACTGG